AAAAGTCTCTATGTGATTTCCTTACAAAAAATTGTATTTCATATCTACATATATATTAGTATTTTTTTTGTACTTTATTTTATGTTTTAAAAACAAAAGAAAAAGACAAAAAGAAAAATTAATTATTGTGTGTTTATAATTTTATTTGGTTTTATTTATGTTTGTGGACCTATTCTCCTTTGGGCCCAACCTAAACCCTTCGGCCCACTCCTATCCTTTCTAAACTCTTTCTATTCGGCCTCCCCTCACTATCCTTCCAACCCTTAAGCCGATTCTATAAACCGATCCCCTTTGGCCTCCCTCAATAAGCCAAATCGGCGTCCACCCCCAATCGGGCTTCCCAACCTTTCCCTACATACTAGCCGACCTCTACACCCCACCGCATACCTTCGGCCCAAATCCATTCGGCCTATGGCTCTCGGCCCACCCCTCTCTTTTCAAAATCCTCAACCCCCTCTCTTTTTATACAAGACGATTGTCAACCACACCGAATAGGTAAACCGATCACCCTCCTCCCTAGCCGATCCTTACACACCGATTTTCTACATAACAAAGACCCACAAGCCGAACCTCTTTATATACGCCGAACACTCACACGTAACTCGCCTTCAAGCCGCTCTTGCCTCTCCCTCTCTCCTTCGGCTTGATACCCCTCACCCCCTACCCCATTCGGCTTCCTCCCTAGCCGACTCCCACACCGTTCGGCCTTCGGTTTCTCTCTTTCTCTAAACCCCACACCCACCAGCCGATCCCCCCCCATACGACTTGCCTCCTCGATTAATACCACAAACCGTTTCACACCCCCGCCTACCCCCTTCCAACAAACCGAACTCCTCCCACCCACGCCAACCTCCCTCATTCGGCTTGCTTCCCTCACCGTTCGGCTTGCTTCCCTCACCTACTCACATAAGCCGAACCCTTTTTGGTTCCCCATTCCCCAAGCCGATCGGATACCCCTCCCCCTTTCGGCCCACACCATTCGGCCCACTCCCTTTCGGCCCATCCCTCTCTTTTTCAAAACCCTAGACCCCTCTCCCTCTCTATAAATATATCTTTCTCTTCCTCATTTTCTTCACACACCAATCCACCCTCTCTCTCCCTTACCAACCGATCCTACCTTCGGTTTCCCTTTCAATTACGCCGATCCTCCATTCGGCCTCTCTCTCTTTCTCTCCAATCCCACAAGCCGATTACCCCTCAATAACCCGACCCCCACAAGCCGAACCTCCACCCCCCTTCACACCGATCGCCCAACCTTACCCCACACCGATCCTCCACAAGCCACAAACCGATCACTACAACCAACCGATTCTCCCCTAAACCCTCTCGGCTTCCTCTCCTTCCTACACTACACTAAGCCGATCCTAACCTCCATCCCCAAATCGGCTTCTCCTTCGAACCTCCATTCTTCCATCAAGAAACCGATCTTCTTTAGCCTTACACCCTCCTTCGGTTTCCCCTACACAATCCTCTCAAGATCGCCCCCCCTCTCCTTTTTCTTTTGTCCCCTATTCCCCAACCATTTCTCTCTCACCTAATACCCCTTACCCCATCCCATCTCTTACACCCCATCCCCACCTAAGACCCACACCCCTACTTCTTACACCTTTCCTTTACCTTTTTACCTTCCCCATACACCCCTTCTTTTACCCACCATATATTTCCCTCCTATT